AGTCGGGTTTCATCTCTTTCATATATTGAAGAGATTTCTGATCACACATCAGCATAAATGCTGTTCCGTATAAGTAATCTCGGAAGTGTGTTAGAGCTGCCACTATGGCTAATAGCTCATGTTTAACAGTTGGATAATTCAACTGTGAAGCCTTCGTTGCTCGACTAAAGAATTGTATATATCTAGGTTTGTTATTTATAACCTGATATAATACTCCTCCTAAGGCTAAGTCTGATGCGTCCGTTGCTATTTCAAAAGGCACGCCATCGACTGGCCCTTGTACAACTGGGGCTTGTTGGACTGCGTGTTTGAGCGCTCTAAATGCATCATCACACTCTTTAGTCCACAAGTCTCCTAGTTTGCCTTTATGACATCTTGAGTGTCCAACAGGTTTAAGGTAGTCAGTTAAGTGTGGTACTCCATATGAAAAGAAGTTTACAAACCCACACATGCTGTTAACATCTCTTCCTGTAGTTGGTGTTCGCCAATCTAACAGGTGTTCTACCTTACCGGGGTCGATCTTAATATCTTCCCCAGATATATGGTAGCCCAAGAGCTGTATTTCGCTCATTGCGAAGTGGCATTTCTTCTCGTTAATCTTGAAGTTTTGCTCATCCCTTCGTACAGATGGGTCACAATCTGCATACATCAAGAAGGCACAAGTCACCACGATTTATTGTGTACTTTGATCGCAGACAGAATCAACTCAGGGACTACAACGAACCAGTGACCGCACCCAGTACAACAGTATCTTGGGAAGAGCGACTGCAGAATCTAGAAGAAGCCATCAGGCCACAAATAGATAGGAATGCTGCGCATTATCAAGAGAAGATGCGCGCAGCATACAACCGAAAATACCAAAAGAAGTATGTACACTTTCAGGAAGGGGACATTGTCATGGTCCGCTATCAAGGTGAAATGAACAAGCTGACTGCAACTAGTGGTGGATAATATAAAATAGCATGCAAGAGGGCAACGCTTTTGTCTGTAACCTTGATGGATCTAAAGCCTCCGAATATTCAGACTCGATCAGTGATGAGCTACCTGGGCTTGTGACAAGAGCAAGTGCTCAGGAAGCATTCACTTGCAATAATCACGCACAACCACTGAGTTCTTCTCGATACTCGACGACAGGCCGTCCACCTTAGGAGGTGGAACCCAGGAGTGTCTACTGCAATGAACAGATGGATGCTGGTGTCATTACAACATACCGTCAACGCCATCGACGCAAACGAAGGCAGTCAAGGCCAAAAAAAACCAGCGACGACGAGCACTGATGAAAGATCAGCGAGCAACAGAAAGCGCACGAGGCGGATGATCTATGTAAGTCTCACTGATACCACGAGACACTCGCACTTTTCTCGCCTTGAAGCATGCTCCCCCCACACACTAGAGGACAAGGACCAAAGACTCGGCTGTAGAGCCACCCTTGAGATGCGTTTTCCTAACCCAACTTGAGATCAACCGAGAGTACCGGTCAAGACAGATTCCGATGAGCGTGGTAGAGACCTCCCGTCATGGTGTAAAATTAATTGATAGGTAATATGTAAGAATATATAGTGGTGGCAGGTTTCTCATCTTATCCCCCCTAAGGGACAAGTTTTTCCCTGTATACAAACACCAACCTCTAGGTAATCTAGTACTGTAAGATGTCACTTTCTACTCCTACGCAAGGCTAAGAAGCATAAAGTTGGGGGCTGTAGCATCTAGGGACAAAATTATCAAAAAGTCGATTCAAATCCCAAAACCAAGAATAATCAAATATTGAGTTTTGGAATCAGGATTGGAATATTTCTGATATGAGAGTCATCAGAAATATTAGCGGTAGAACCAGTAAGCTAAATAGGGATTCTGTGTGTGAGAGAAACACCCGAGTAAAATCCTCAGTCGAGTGAAAACACAAACATAGACTCTGTTCGGTTCTCCAAGACTAGAGACTTTTCCTAGCTCAGATAACCGTACTTGAGAAGAGGTCTATTGTATCCTTTGGCTTGTAACTTTCAGCTACTCTCCAAACTCTACATCTGCGCTTGACAGTGTTTCGTATTCATTATACATGTCCTCTGCGCTATGTAGTGTTATGCATTCATTAATACACGTCCTCTGCGCTAGTTATTGTTGTCTCTACTAATACTCCGCTCGGCGCTGACTAGTGTTATGTATTTATTATTACTCGTCCTCTACGCTAGTTAGTGTTATGTATTTTATATTACTCGTCCTCTGCCGCTAGTTAGTGTTATACATTTTATAATACTCGTCCTCTGCGCTACTTAGTATTATGTATTTATTAATACTCTTCCTCTGCGCTATATATTATGTATTCATTAATACTCGATCTCTGCGCTATATAGTCTTATGCATTCATTAATACTCGTCCTCTACGCTAGATAGTGTTATGTCTCTACTGAAGCTCCGATCGGCGCTAAATAGTGCTATGTATTTATTATTACTCGTCCTCTGCGCTCGTTAGTGTTATGTATTTTATAATACTCGTCCTCTGCGCTATATAGTGTTGAGCATTATTAATACACCTCCTCTTTATTAATACTCTTCCTCTGCACTATATATTGTTATTCAATTATCAATACTCATCCTTTGCGCTATATAGTGTTATATATTTATTAATACTTGTCCTCTGCGCTATATAGTGTTATATTTTCATTAGAACTCGTCCTCTGCGCTAGTTAGTGTTATGTATCCATTGATACTCTTCCTCTGCGCTATGTAGAGTTACACATTCATTTATACTCGTCCTCTGTGCTAGTTAGTATTATATATTTATTAATACTCGTTCTCTGCGCTATAGTGCCATGTATTTATTAAACTCTTCCTCTGCGCTAGTTAGTGTTAGGCATTCGACAATATTTGTCCTTTGCGCTATATAGTGTTATGTATTCATTAATTCTCGTCCTCTGCGAGATATAGTGTTTTATATATATTACTCGTCCTCTGCGCTAGTTAGTGTTGTATATATATTAATACTCGTCCTCTGCGCTATACAGTGTTATGTAAATATTTATTCTCGTCCTCTGCGCTAGCTAGTCTTATGTATTCATTAATACTTGTCCTCTGCGCTATATAATATTATGCATTCATTAATACTCGTCCTCTGTGCTAGTTGGTGTTATGTATTTATTAATACTTATCCTCTGCGATATATAGTGCTATGTATTCAATAATACTCGTCCTCTGCGCTAGTTAGTGTTATGGATTCATTGATACTCTTCCTCTGCGCTATATAGTGATATATATTAAACAACACTCTTCCTCTGCGCTATATAGTGTTATATATTTATTAATATTCTTCCTCTGCGCTATGCAGTGTTATATAGTGATTAATACTCTTCCTCAGCGCTATATATATTTTATATTTATTAATACTCGTCCTCTGCGCTATATAGTGTTATATATTCATTAATACTCGTTCTCTGCGCGATATAGTGTTTATTATTTAACAATACTCGTCCTCTACGCTAGTCAGTATTATGTATTTTTTAATACTCGTACTCTGCGCGAGTTAGTGTAATGTGTTTTATAATACTCTTCCTCTGCACTATATAGTGTTATATATTTGTTAATACTCTTCCTCTACGATATATGCTGACATGTTTTTATTATTGCTCGTCCTCTGCTCTAGTTAGTAATATGTATTCATTAATACTCTTCTTCTGCGTTATATTGTGTTATGTATTTATTATACTCTTCCTCTGCGCTATATAGTGTTATATTTTTTTAATACTCTTCCTCTACGATATATAGTAATATGTTTTTATTATTGCTCCTCCTCTGCGCTATATAGTGAAATATATTCATTAATACTCTTTCTCTGCGTTATATAGTGTTATATATTTATTAATACTCTTCTACGCTATACAGTGTTATATGTATTGATACTCTTCCTCTGCGCTATATAGTGTTATATATATTTAATACTCGTCCTCTGCGCTAGTTAGTGTTATGTAATTATTAATACTCGTCACTGTGCTATATAGTGGTTAGTATTTATTAATACTCGTCCTCTGCGCTGGTTATTGTTATGTATTTATTTATACTCGTCCTCTGCGCTATATATATATATATTTATTAATACTCGTCCTGTGCGCTATATAGTGTTCTGTATTTATTAATACTCTTTCTCTGCGCTATATGGTGATATGTATTTATTAATACTCTTCCTCTGCGCTGTATAGTGTTATGTATTTATTAATACTCTTCCTCTGCGCTTTATAGTGTCATGAAATTTATTAATACTCTTCCTATGCGCTATATAGTGTCATGTATTTATTTATACTCGTCCTCTGCGATGTTAGTGTTATATTTTTATATATATTCGTCCTCTGCGCTATATAGTGTTATGCATTCATTAATACTCGTCTTCTGCTCTAGTTAGTGTTATGTATCTACTAATACTCGGCTCTGCGCTAGTTAGTGTTATATAATGACTACTACCCACCACCCACGCCGGCCCGCCACATAATTTTACATGCACCTGAGGTCGATTGCTGCCTATCATGCTCTGTTGGGCCCATACATGCGCGTGGGGGTATAGTATGTACCTGGTGTGTAGGTTGTGCCGCACAGTGTGTCTCTGCTGCGTTGTTGTGTGTGTTAGACTCACTATCAGCTCTGTAAGCTGTTTGTGTGTGTGTGGTGGTGGTGGTGGTGGCGCGGGGGGGTTATATGTGGAGCCAAAACCGATACGATGACCATATCCACTCCTTCTAGGTGCGTGTACGCTATCATACACACACCAAACAGCACAAGCACACACCAGATAGTATATGTACGTGCGCTACGGCAGTAGTGACCGTATGCACACTGCGGTGTGCAACGGATACGTCGACAGCTGGGTCATACAATATGTCTGATAGTAGACAAATATCGAGGTGACTTCGTGCACGAGCACACCTCTGTGTAGATAGTGTGCCTACTGTCGTACCCGTTAGTGCACTGTATATAGATATAGATATAGATACAGATACAGATCAGGTATAAATATATGAATATGTATGTATATATATATATATATATATATATCGTAAACATATGCACGTGTGTGCACGTGTACAGCGCTAGGCGCCTTTGCAACTACGCATGGTGGTGGTGCCTCTTATAGCCAACGCGTGGCGTTCATTTGTAATGAGTGAGCGGAGTGTCTAATGGACGTTTTCCACATTACCCGCCCCACAGTCTACAACCAGCCATCCCATGTGATGAGCACAACAGTATGGAAGCATACTATGACGGACTGGTGCAAAGCGAAAGTATGATACGTTAGCATAGCCCCACTACAGTTACTTGAACTAGGTCTATGCGATGGTGCGTGGGTGCTCAGAGCGGTCCGTGTGCGCTGCACACACCACACACGGTAGCATACACCTTGTGATGTGAACGCCAATCTTGTGCATTGCAACACATGTATATACACGCACATGGCTGGCTGTGTATGTATGCATATGTATATATATATTTATATATATATATATATATGTGTGTGTGTGTGCGTGTGCGTGTGTGTATGTGCGTGTGTGTGTGTGGGTGTGTGTGTGGGTGTCCTGCTTGCACCATGATTGCGTAGAGGTGTGCGGCTGTGCGTGTAAGTATACCATGTCGAGGTTCTACATGCCGAGCGTGGGTGTGTGCGTTGTGCACACACGCATCTGTAACCCTGTAGCCGTGTGACCCCACGTCACCTCTCTTCCTTCCTTCCTTTCCCTCTCTCCCTGTGTCACAACTTCATCCCTTCCCCCGTCTCCCCCCCCCTCTCTCCTGTCCTTCCTTCATAACACCATGATATCCTCATCATCCATATAATCGTCACACAGCATAGCCTCGGCATGTCCGTTGCGCAATGTGAAGTAGTCTCTCTCACTCTCTCGAGTCAATGCAAAGTCATAGGCGACGCTTGGCCTGAGATCATCGATGAAACGGTTGTTCACACCTGCCTTATATAGACTTGGGCGTGAAAATAGATCGCTGTGCCCCACGGCCTGTCTGCACAGCTCAAACAGAGTCGGCACGGCAAAGTGCACTGAGAAGATCTGTCCAATCGAAAACGAATAAAATGAAGTACACTGAGAAGATCTGTCCAATCAAAAACGAATAAAATAAAGTGCACGGAGAAGATCTGTCCAATCAAAAACGAATATATTGAAGTGCACTGAGTAGATATCTGTCCAATGAAAAACGAGACAAAATGAAGTGCACTGAGGAGATCTGCCCCATCAGAAATGAGATAAAAATAGAATTACAAAGCCATGAATTAAAAATAGAAATAGAAAGCAATGAAGTGCACTGAGAAGATCTGCCCAATCAAAAACGAAATACAAAGCAATGGAATATGGGTGGTGTGAGAAAAGGGAAGAATAAAGGAACAAGGAAAAGCAAAATTGGCTCAAGGATAGTAATGAGTGATAATATACAACTTGGATGTAAAAGGGTCGGAGACATACATGTGAAGGGGTTCGGGAACAACGGTGCCAAATATATCATACACTCCAATCCGAACGGATTGTGCTATTCTATGGTTGTGGTCGCAAGGATATGCGCACGTCTCGCTGTGACTAGTCATCTGATTGCTGCAATGCGGATGACAGCTTTCAAGAACAATGAACTTGCGTACCTACATACTACACTCAAACCCAGCACCATTGTAGCAGAAAGATACTGTAGCTATCTGTTGTAGCTAGTGTAGGTATTTGCAGTGGTTTAAGATATAATGTATGCACGTACCTACATACTACACTCAAACCCAGCACCATTGCAACAGAAATATAATGCAGCTATCTGTGGTAGCTAGTGTACGTATTTGCAATGATTAATATATAATGTATGTACGTACCTACATGCTACACTCTAACCCAGTACCATTGTAGCAGACAGATACTGTAGCTATCTGTGGTAGCTAGTGCAGGTATTTGCAGTGGTTATTAAGTAGTCATAAGGGTTTTATCTGAACCCCACTCCAGCACACCTATGCAACGCCCCTGTTTCCAAAAGCGTACAATGACTCACGGGTCAGGCAGCGCACCTCTACACATCGAATAGAACACCTGCAGTCCCATATACGTGAAATAACCTCTAAGATCACATGCCATATGAGTCTGTAGCATACAGGGTTTTTAGGGTTTCGGGGTTTAGGGCTTAGGGTAATAGGGTTTACATACCTCGTTACTGCGAACGTTGCCGTTGGAGTCTGCACAGCCACCGAAGATGAACATTGAGCCCTGCGGTGTCACGTCCGCGGCGTGGAAGCACTTTGCGAAGTTGGTCGCGGGATTCAAACGCACCCTCCTCCACTGCAGTAGACAATTAAACAGGAGATGTAAGTTTCAGTGGCATGGTATGTTTTTTGGTATGCTCCGCATAGATCTGGTTGTGCTTTCTATGACGTATTCGAAGGGACGAATGAGTAGTGGATGGCAGTGAAATAACATCGCATTCTAATATATATATATAATATATATATATATATATACATATATATACATACATACATACATACATACATATATACATACATACATTCATACAGAAAGAGAGAGAGAGAGAGAGAGAGATATATATATTTATATATATATATCTAA